CCAGCCAGCATGGCTGGCTGGGGGATTCTGGGAGTTGAAGTCCACACATCTTAAAGTTGCTAAGGTTGTGAAACACTGCTTTGGACAGTTGTACATTATGTGAACACAGCAATTGCATTTGGTTAACCTGGAGTTAAACCTGTTCTGTGGCCTGGCTGTTGCATTAGATACCCTGGTTAGCTCCCCTGGACTTTTGCAAGCCCAGAGCAGGAATTGAGGACTTAGATGGCCGAGTCTGAAGTCCTCCCTGGTATTCAGATGAGGATGGCTTCTGAAAAATGGGTCTCTTGCCCTGTTAATGGGGTAGCAGTGAATCAGAGGGAAAGCGGGAAGTCGCGATGACGTTTTCCTCTCTGTCACCCCCTTGCTGGGCGATCTTGGGGCATGTGCCTCTCTTCCAGTATGAGAACAGTCACACCAGGCTCCCTCGTAGGGGTGGTTGAGGAGATGGACGCCAGGCAGGTGTGCCAAGAGAAGGAAAGCTGGCAGCGTCTCTTACCAAGTGTGAACTGATTGCCAGTGGGCTTCCTGAGTTAAGAGTCTCTTCCTGTTGGTCTCTGGGCTGCCCTTAGTATGGAGATGGGGGCAAGGGTCTGAGTGGCTGGGGGGTTCGCATGTTCCCTTTCTCTTCTCTCGTTGTGCACAAAGGCACCAGAGGACGCAAAAAGGGGCCCTAGGGCTCACCACTGGCCTCACACTCACACTCACACACACACACACACAGCCTGTTGTTGAATAATGCAGGGCAACTGCAGCACTTTTGCTGCAGATTTCTGGCACGCGAGCAGCAGATCCCTTACGCTGGGGGCGCTTAATCCCATGTTTTCTTGCAGTCCTTTCAAAGGACTGGAGAAGGTGGGCTCGTCATAATAAACGGAGAGCGCAAATGGGAAGGTTGAGACAGAGAAAGGGAAGCACCCGGTGAGGAGCTGGTTATGGTGTGCTAGAAGTTGTTGTTTGGTGGGGTTTAGGGGGTGCAAAAAAGGGAGCTATGTTTTTGCTTCCTCTTTCTCACCTTCTATATGGTGTGTGTGTGTGTGTGTGTGTGTGTGTGTGTAGCAGGAGGGTCTAATTCAGTGTTTCTCAACCTTGGCCCCCCTTTTTTTTTTGGTTGGTCTTCTACCCCCCATAACCACCCCACCAAACCGAGCGCGGGGGGTGTGTGGTGGGGTGTAAT